TAATTCAGCCACAGTTGCACTTGCAATATTTATTGTCTCTGCTTGCTGCATTATGTTTGCAGATTCCTTCACTGTTTGAAAATCATTGTTAACATTCAGAGCTTTCCTAGTACTAGCAATTAATTGTTTTAGCTCAAGGCTATCCTTGATTTGTGATTCTTGTGTGACCTCCATCTTGAATACATCTAAATCAGCTTTGGCAAGACGAAGGTCATCTTCATTTGGCTTGTACGTTCTTGTTGAAAACTTAACCAAGTGTTTTGTCATGGCTGTCATAGATGTCTGTAATACTTCAAGTGTAGATAGATTATCATTGCTAGAAATTTTCTGAGTTATACCATTCAGGGTTACCTCAGTTGAAGATATGATATCCATCATAGATTCTACCTGTTGTATGAACTGTATATTTTCTCCCTTTTCTTTATATTCTTCCATCTTCTCAGTTACAAGCATATGTACTTCCTCTACTTTTGTTATGAGACTGTTTATTTCATCGTGAACTATTGAAGACGTATTAGTCATTTGATTATTAGACATCTTCTGCAAGAAAAGTTCAAGTGTAGAAACCGTCTCCCTTGTCACATAATCTACACTGAATTCAGTCATGAAATTTAGAACAGCCGTGATGTCGTCATTAACTGCCGTGCTAGTCTCTAAAGACACATTTCTTATTTCGTTTGCCACCTTTGTAATAGAGCTGAAGTAGAAGGAAACATCCGTTAGAGTTTCTAATGTATTGGAAACAGAATTCTGAAATGTGAGTTCCTCTATCTTCCTTGTGACAGCAGAAGTCAGTTTTTTATTTGTAGATACAAATTCCTCAAAGTTTGAGATTATGAATGGTTGTTGCTTAAGCTTATAATTGCTTTTCAGTAATTCCTCAATTTTATGCTGTTCGTCTAAAAGATGTTTTAATTCCCACATCCGATACAGTTATGATTTCCTTGTTTATAGTTCTAATTATCTCTCAGTATTGATTGAAACAGGTTTACCATTTTGAGAACCTAATGTGGCAAGTTCTATTTCTGTAAGAAGATTCGATATATGTGCCACTATGTTCAGTGTATCTTTTGTTTTCATCATTAAAGCATTTGTTGCATCTGTTTGCTCATTCAATTTCTTGGCTTCGTCTAAAGTGACCTGTAAAGATGCTATTGTACTGAGAAGGCTATCAAGGCCGGAGTATTCACCCGTCTTGTCTTTAATGCTCTCAAGAAACCCGCGAAGTGTAGCAACAGACGTTATTTTCATGCTACTCATACTTTGACTCCATGTTACGAGTTCAGTTTGAATCTCCTCGATTAATGTAAGTGATATTAGAGTAGATTCATCTGATATGTTAGCCTTTAATGCAGAAACTACACTTTGTAATTCAGCCACAGTTGCACTTGCAATATTTATTGTCTCTGCTTGCTGCATTATGTTTGCAGATTCCTTCACTGTTTGAAAATCATTGTTAACATTCAGAGCTTTCCTAGTACTAGCAATTAATTGTTTTAGCTCAAGGCTATCCTTGATTTGTGATTCTTGTGTGACCTCCATCTTGAATACATCTAAATCAGCTTTGGCAAGACGAAGGTCATCTTCATTTGGCTTGTACGTTCTTGTTGAAAACTTAACCAAGTGTTTTGTCATGGCTGTCATAGATGTCTGTAATACTTCAAGTGTAGAAAGATTATCATTGCTAGAAATTTTCTGAGTAATACCATTCAGGGTTACCTCAGTTGAAGATATGATATCCATCATAGATTCTACCTGTTGTATGAACTGTATATTTTCTCCCTTTTCTTTATATTCTTCCATCTTCTCAGTTACAAGCATATGTACTTCCTCTACTTTTGTTATGAGACTGTTTATTTCATCGTGAACTATTGAAGACGTATTAGTCATTTGATTATTAGACATCTTCTGCAAGAAAAGTTCAAGTGTAGAAACCGTCTCCCTTGTCACATAATCTACACTGAATTCAGTCATGAAATTTAGAACAGCCGTGATGTCGTCATTAACTGCCGTGCTAGTCTCTAAAGACGCATTTCTTATTTCGTTTGCCACCTTTGTAATAGAGCTGAAGTAGAAGGAAACATCCGTTAGAGTTTCTAATGTATTGGAAACAGAATTCTGAAATGTGAGTTCCTCTATCTTCCTTGTGACAGCAGAAGTCAGTTTTTTATTTGTAGATACAAATTCCTCAAAGTTTGAGATTATGAATGGTTGTTGCTTAAGAATTTCCTTAGCCTCTGATTCAAAGAATTTGATTATACTAATCTGTGACTCAGAAACAGCTTCTACTGTCTGAAGAGATAGTATTGTATCAATAATTTCCTGACTAATGTGTACGAGAGTAGGATTAATTTCATCAGTTACTAAATTTTGAGCCTCAGTTAGCAGACTTATTTGCTCCTTTACAACATTCATAGCATATGAGAGACTATCCAGAAGAATGACTTGTTCCTGAGATGCCTTTAGTGCATTATTTTTCTTGGCTGTTTCCTCAGTAATGACTAAAGCAGCTTCAATGTTTAATCTGGTTTCAGTTATTAGTGTTTCGTAAATAACGGCTCCTTCTAAGACCAGTAAATGAAGTTCATGATGGACTAAATCTAGAATGGTGGCAGTATTGCTAGTAAAGGCACTGGTGCCAAACTGAGTTATTGCCAACAAAATATTGTTAAATTGTTCAAATAATGCCACACCATTCATTTCTTTCTCAGCAGATACGTTCATCTTGTCTAATTCATGTCCCACCGATCTTATTATACCGTCAACCGTTTCAACTGTCTCTTGTTTTGCCTGAGTTACTTTTAGTCTTGTTTCTCCCTCTGCTTCTTTCACAAACAGGCCAATCACACGATAAGCTAGCCTTGTAGTCACAGTCACAATCTGCAAGGACTGTTTACCGAGAATCTTTGCTCCCAACTCTACTTCAGTCCTCATAATTCTTATCTCCTTTGTGACTAAGTCAGTATAGATAAGTTCTTCTCTAGTATATCTGCTAATGTCCACAGTCCAATACTTAACTTTAGACTGCAGTTCCATAATATTTGTTACCGAGATCTCACGAACATCACGGCGTCGACGTCTGCTTGCGTCTTCGTTAGCGAGGCCATCCAACTCATCAGCCAGCTCTTTTAATTTGCCCGCAGCTTCATCTGCAGAGTAGAGCATTGAAGAATATTATGTTAAATACACATATTCATCGCAATCAGTGATTTTCTGTTAAACTTACCCTTTTAGCTGGATAGATTTGCGCAAGTGTACTTCCTTCACAAAAACAAGAATAAAAACTTCTATTCTATAAAGCCTTAATGATAAAGTGAAATGAGAGATTCAAGTATGGCAGTGGAAACTTTCATTTCACAAACAGGTCGATGTGATTTGAATAATATTAATTTTCATGAATATACATGCTATATACGATCACTGGCACCAGATATTGGATCAAATATCAGTGATTCGGTAATTTACCTAACGCAAGTAAAACGAAAATAAAATAGTATCTCAGAAGTGGATGTATTAATTTCATCGTGGTCAAATATATTCGGCAGATAGATAAGTACAATATTATGGATGAACTTGTATTGATATCTGGTAATATAGTTGTTCACGTACTCCTCCCTAAAGATAAAGGGGTGAGACTTTATATGGTAATAATTTAGTTCATTTGAACATGAATATACAAAAGCTGCTATTAGATGATCAGATTACTAATTTCGAATTAATTCAAATATGATTTTGTTAAAAAAAAAAATAGATAAATAAATAAAATAAAAGATAAAAACAGATGAAGAATTAACATGCTACACATATTTTTTTTCATCCGCCTCCTTTAGCAATGATTTGAATATCTGTTTCCCATTTTACTTTCTTATGTAGCCTATTTCATTCCGAATATCGTGATGTAAGTGAAAAGTCTGCTAAGAAATTATTGATGTTAGAGGTATTCATTTACAGGGTTTATACTTAATTCTTAAAAACGCACTACTGTTATTAGACAAAATATAGCTACGAAACGCATTTGACGTCACTGCAATAATATTCGGTATATTTGTCCCATTTTCGAATGGCAAGGGAGCGTACTTTGGAATAAACTATCCCGTGATATAATTGGAAACTGCGATGATATCAAAGTACTGCTAGTAACACCAATTCATGTTATTTATAATCTGACACCTTCCCCATTGCTATATAAATAGAGCTCTATACATCTTCCCTACAACAACAACAAAACGTGCACTTTCATGCGTTTCCATGTTTTCACAAAATGGCTAAAAATAAATAAAAAGTGCATGAAAGTGGCTATAAATAAATACATCACATTTAATTTCACGAGGAAAGTAGATTTCGGACAAAAATTCATGAAAAAATATAGATATTCACCTGAGTTAGGATCCTCAGGGGTTTCTTCATCGGAAGTTTCTTCGTCAAGAGCGTCTTCACCAGGAGTTTCTTCCTCAGGAGTGTCGTCACCAGGAGTTTCTTCCTCAGGAGTGTCGTCACCAGGAGTTTCTTCCTCAGGAGTGTCGTCACCAGGAGTTTCTTCCTCAGGAGTGTCGTCACCAGGAGTTTCTTCCTCAGGAGTGTCGTCACCAGGAGTTTCTTCCTCAGGAGTGTCGTCACCAGGAGTTTCTTCCTCAGGAGTGTCTTCCCAAGGAGTTTCTTCCTCAGGAGTGTCGTCACCAGGAGTTTCTTCCTCAGGAGTGTCGTCACCAGGAGTTTCTCCCTCAGGAGTGTCGTCACTAGGATTTTCTTCCTCAGGAGTGTCGTCACTCGGAGTTTCTTCCTCAGGAGTGTCGTCACCAGGAGTTTCTTCCTCAGGAGTTTCTTGCTCAGGAGTGTCGTCACCAGGAGTTTCTTCCTCAGGAGTGTCGTCACCAGGAGTTTCTTCCTCAGGAGTTTCATCAGGAGTTCCATCCTCAGGAGTTTCTTCCTCAGGAGTTTCTTCCTCAGGGGTGTCGTCACCAGGAGTTTCTTCCTCAGGAGTTTCTTCATCAGGAGTTCCATCCTCAGGAGTTTCTTCCTCAGGAGTTTCTTCCTCAGGTGTGTCGTCACCAGGAGTTTCTTCCTCTGGAGTTTCTTCCTCAGGAGTTCCATCCTCAGGAATTTCTTCCTCAGGAGTTTCTTCCTCAGGGGTGTCGTCACCAGGAGTTTCTTCCTCAGGAGTTTCTTCATCAGGAGTTCCATCCTCAGGAGTTTCTTCCTCAGGAGTTTCTTCCTCAGGAGTTTCTTCCTCAGGGGTGTCGTCACCAGGAGTTTCTTCCTCAGGAGTTTCTTCCTCAGGGGTGTCGTCACCAGGAGTTTCTTCCTCAGGAGTTCCATCCTCAGGAGTTTCTTCCTCAGGAGTTTCTTCCTCAGGAGTTTCCTCATCAGCAGTTTCTTCCTCAGCAGTTTCTTCCTCAGCATTTTCTTCCTCAGCAGCTTCTTCCTCAGGACCGTCTTCATCAGGAGTTTCTTCCTCAGGAGTTTCTTCGTCTGGAGTTTCTTCCTCAGGAGTTTCTTCCTCAGGAGTTTCTTCCTCAGGAGTTCCTTCCTCAGGAGTTTCTCCCTCAGGAGTTTCTTCCTCAGGAGTTTCTTCCTCAAGAGTTTCTTCCTCAGCAGTTTCTTCCTCAGCAGTTTCTTCCTCAGGAGTTTCTTCCTCAAGAGTTTCTTCCTCAGCAGTTTCTTCCTCAGCAGTTTCTTCCTCAGGAGTTTCTTCCTCTGGAGTTTCTTCCTCAGGAGTTTCTTCCTCAGCAGTTTCTTCCTCAGCAGTTTCTTCCTCAGGAGTTTCTTCCTCAAGAGTTTCTTCCTCGGCAGTTTCTTCCTCGGCAGTTTCTTCCTCGGCAGTTTCTTCCTCGGCAGTTTCTTCCTCAGCAGTTTCTTCCTCAGCAGTTTCTTCCTCAGCAGTTTCTTCCTCAGCAGTTTCTTCCTCAGCAGTTTCTTCCTCAGCAGTTTCTTCCTCAGGAGTTTCTTCCTCAGGAGTTTCTTCCTCAAGAGTTTCTTCCTCAGGAGTTTCTTCCTCTGGAGTTTCTTCCTCAGCAGTTTCTTCCTCAGGAGTTTCTTCCTCAGGACCGTCTTCATCAGAAGTTTCTTCCTCAGGAGTTTCTTCCTCAGAAGTTTCTTGCTCAGGAGTGTCGTCACCATGAGTTTCTTCCTCAGGAGTGTCGTCACCAGGAGTTTCTTCCTCAGGACCGTCTTCATCAGAAGTTTCTTCCTCAGCAGTTTCTTCCTCAGGAGTGTCGTCACCAGGAGTTTCTTGCTCAGGAGTGTCGTCACCAGGAGTTTCTTCCTCAGGAGTGTCGTCACCAGGAGTTTCTTCCTCAGAATTTTCTTGTTCAGGAGTGTCGTCACCAGGAGTTTCTTCCTCAGGAGTGTCGTCACCAGGAGTTTCTTCCTCAGGAGTGTCGTCACCAGGAGTTTCTTCCTCAGGAGTGTCGTCACCATGAGTTTCTTCCTCAGAACTTTCTTGTTCAGGAGTGTCGTCACCATGAGTTTCTTCCTCAGAAGTTTCTTGCTCAGGAGTGTCGTCACCATGACTTTCTTCCTCGGAAGTTTCTTGTTCAGGAGTGTCGTCACCATGAGTTTCTTCCTCAGAAGTTTCTTGTTCAGGAGTGTCGTCACCATGAGTTTCTTCCTCAGAAGTTTCTTGCTCAGGAGTGTCGTCACCATGACTTTCTTCCTCAGAAGTTTCTTGTTCAGGAGTGTCGTCACCATGAGTTTCTTCCTCAGAATTTTCTTGTTCAGGAGTGTCGTCACCATGAGTTTCTTCCTCAGAAGTTTCTTGCTCAGGATTGTCGTCACCATGAGCTTCTTCCTCAGAAGTTTCTTCCTCAGGAGTGTCGTCACCAGGAGTTTCTTCCTCAGAAGTTTCTTGCTCAGGAGTGTCGTCAAAATGAGTTTCTTCCTCAGGAGTGTCGTCACCAGGAGTTTCTTCCTCAGGAGTGTCGTCACCATGAGTTTCTTCCTCAGAAGTTTCTTGCTCAGGAGTGTCGTCACCAGGAGTTTCTTCCTCAGGAGTTTCTTGCTCAGGACTGTCGTCACCATGAGTTTCTTCTTCAGGAGTGTCCTCACCAGTTGTTTCTTCCCCAGAAGTGTCTTCGCCCGGAGTAACTTCCCCAGATGTGTCATCATCAATTTCTTCACCGGGGGTGTCTCCGTCAGGAGTTTCATCACCAACGGTGTCATCACCAGTTTCATTCCCAGCAGTGTCTTCGTCAGGAGTTTCATCACCAGCGGCATCTTCGTCAGGGGTTTTCACCGGGGGTATCTCCGTCAGGAGTTTCATCACCAACGGTGTCATCACCAGTTTCATTCCCAGCAGTGTCTTCGTCAGGAGTTTCATCACCAGCGGCATCTTCGTCAGGGGTTTCATCACCAGCAGTGTCTTCACCAGGAGTGTCGTCATCAAGAGTTTCATCACCATCGGCGTCACCAGACGTGTCTTCCTCAGGAGTGTCTTCATCAAGAGTGTCATCACCATCGGCGTCACCAGACGTGTCTTCCTCAGGAGCTTCATCACCAGTGTTT